ATTTTATTAATTTTTTATTAATTTATTTTGATACTTGTTAAAAATTAATATTAATAAATAATATAAAAATTTATTAAGTATTAAATTAAGCAAATAATTCAATAAAAATTAACAAAAAAAATATTTTAAATATATTTTTTATTGTCAATTTTATTGTAAATAAACTATTTACAATAATTTATATTATGCTTAATGCATAAATATGTTAAAAATTTGAAATAAAAACAGTTGAATTATTTTAATTATAAAAATTGCATTTTCTAATGATAATACACAATATCACAAAAATATTTTATAAAAATTATATTTTTAAATTGTAATATTAAATAATATTTTTTAAATTGTCTGAATATTATATGATATTACTATATATTTTTTCATTAAAAAGAATATAACATTTAAAATATTAATGCAAATTTAAAATCTTAATCAACAATCTTTCTATAATATAAATTTTTAATAATAAATTTTTAATAAACGTTGATTTTTTTTTAAAGAATGAAATATTTAATCAAATCTTATTGTATTATGTTAAATTGCGATTGTGAGATAAAATAATCAATTATGATAACGATATACTTATTTTAATTTATTTTTACTCATATCTATCATGAAAAGTGATATGTATAAAAAAGGATAAAAATTAAGTATACATAATCTATCATGAAAAGTGATTATGTATACTTAATTTTTATCCTTTTTTGATACATTCTTTTGTAATATTTTTATTCTCAATTTCAATTTGTTCAAAAAATAAAATAAAAACGAATCAATACTTAAATAAGAATAACTTTCCACGAAATGAATGGAAATTTTTATTTTTTTTTTTATATTTTCATTTCTACATTTTTTATTTAAACTTGAATATTACCATATGTTTATTATCGTTTTACGAAACATTCTTTTGCCAAACATTATTCCAGACAGTAGATTTTGTGATAAAATTTAAAAATTATCAAAATGTTTTAAAATCATATGTTCTATATCTATATTGCATCATACATATTTCTATTATTTAGGAATGATCATTTCGTTAATCATGAAGAAATTCGTCTTTGCTTTGTAATTCTTTTAAACGAATATCCGAAATATTATATTATTCCATGCAATGTAAAGTTCTTTTTATATGTATCTGTTGCATAATGCTTGTGAAATCGGGTCTACGCATCTAATAATTGTTTTGTTGAAACTTTTATTCCGAAACATATCAAACAAGGCGACCTTCATCAAATATTTCGAAGGCTCGTTGAAGCACCTGTGGTTATTGTCGATATTTCATATTGCTAACAAGTAAGATTCAACAAATGTAAATATTTAATAAAATTTATCTATCTAAACTTTTTATTAATACATATATGTATTATGTAGGTGACTAATAGTATTTGAAATAAAAAATAAAAATATTTGTATAAAAATATTTCATTGACCCGTATTGTGAAAAATTTAAAATAATAATTTTTAAAATAAATAAAATACTATTTAAAATATTTATTTGATTTTATAAATAAAAAAGATTCCTTACATAATTTTTAATTTTGAAATAATTATTAATTTGAATAAATATTTTTTTTATTTTATGCAGAATAAATATTATT